GCGCACAGCGCTGGGCGAGCAGCGCCGGGCGCTCGGAGCTCCGCGCACAGCGCCTTCAACACCATGGACAGGGTCGCGCAGTCGCTGCGCGCTGTCAGCCCCTCAGCTAGCCCCCGGGGCGTCTTGCTGCTCTCTCCAGCGAGGTTTTCTCCTTGGAGTGTCCACCGAATGCTTCCAGACCCTCCTCTGCCTCACTTCATCTGGCTTCCCGCATCCCCGAGAGCGAGCTGCCCAGGTGCACAGAAATTGCTGCAGGCACGGAGGAAAACCTGGTCCCGGCTCCTCAAAACAACCCGCCCCCTTCTGCCACCTGAGCCCTGGTACTCTAGCACCGCGTCTGCTCTGTCCAACTAGGGTCAGCCGCTCTCAGATTGCACCATTTTCTTCGCAGCCCACTCAGACGCCGACATGCCGGCTCACTCGCAAGCGTGCACAGAATCCAGTCCAAGCCTCGGCGTCCAGCATTCAGGCTCCAGACGCACGATGGTCGCGGAGGTGAATGGGGCGGGGGGTGGGGGAGGGAGGCTGGGTCGCTGGTCTTCCCCTCCCAGCTTCCTGCTCTAGCGGCTGCTGCTCCAAGGCCTCCCAGGCTCCGATCCCTGACTGCGCCCCGGGGGCTTGAGAAATAGCATTGCCCGGGTGTGGGCGCCGGAGGAAGCCGCTGCCGCGCTGGCTTGCTCGGGCGCCGGGCGCTGCAGCCTTGGCTAAAACCCACAGACGAGAACACGGAGCGCGCAGCCAAAAGCTAGTGATGTCATCCGTGCAACGTGAGCCTCATCTCTTATTTTTCTAGCCTTCTTAAAGATAAACTGCACCATTTCCCAGGCACGAAATGTCTAAGCCTTATTCTTTGACCAGGCAAGTCAATGGTGTCTAGGTAGGTATGTGCCCAACCACTTCCATATGTATGCACATATACATATGTGTGGCATGTAGCATGTTTACATGTATATTATAAATTTAGGGATGGCTCTTTTGAACCATGGAAAATTCCTTCAAATCCAACACAGTTCTTTGAAGAAAAGACTGCCTATTGCAGAATTGCTTTTATAGGAGCTGGGCAAGCTTCTGCGTCCAGATTTCAATAGCTGGTTTGCCTTTGATGGTTGTCTTCTCCTGGGAAGCCACAGGCACCACCTTGCTAGGTACCGGCGTTTCCACCCAGAGCTGAGCAAAGAGTGACCGCCCGGTTCACCGCCCAGCCCCAGTCCAGCCCCAAGCTAGCGCCCTGAACCACAACACACACACACACCTACACCTGCCCTCCCTCCTCACAGGAAAAGAAAGAAGAAATTTGATCTGTACTTTCAAGACCAGAAAAAGAATTTTAATAAGAGGGGACGGTTAGTAAATATTTTGAAAATGTTGGGGGGCTTGTGCTTTGAGGGGAGGCAGGGTTAAAGGCAATCTCGATGCAGGGTGTGTCATTTTCTGAGAGTGACAGCTGGGTCTGGGTTCTGCAGGGGCACTGGGAGGTAATGCTGGACCCCAGACCTTGATCCAGTGGGCCCCAGGCAAGCCCGTTTCATCCCAACCCCCGCCCCCTTCTTCGCTCACGTGAGACCGAGCCGCAAAGGCTGGGAGCCTCCCTCCCAGCCCCAGATACTGGGGTTTTCACTCTTAACGCTCACCATTCTTTTTCACACTCCAAAGCCAAGGTCCCGCACTGCCGAGTAAAGAGCTGTCCTGGGGGAAAGAGAGTGCCAGGCAGCCTGCTTTGCACAACGGGGATTGCAAGTCAAAATGAGCACACCTCCACCATATTCTTTTTGTCTTTTTTTTCCCCCTGCTCCCTGCATTTTAAAAATCGCGAACAAGGCGTTTCAGTGCCATCTAGTGGGGGAGGGGCGTGCCTTGCTTTTCGCCCCCGAATTCTGCAATGGGATTTACTGAAGGGACAGCAGAGCCTGAGGATGCTGCTGGGTTCTTGGGTGCCAGACACGTGACCTGTGTCAGTCCTCACCCTCGAGGTTCCCTAGGATGTCACTGCAAAGCCAAGTGACTTTGGCCACAGTGTCTTCTCACCTTCCTTTCTACCTCCTCTTTCCAATTCTTCCACCCCCTGCCCTGGCCCTGAAAATAGTGAACCACAGCGCACACACTCGGAACACATGAGGCCATTGTAAATTTCTGAAGCTGTTTTCCTCCCTAAAGCACAGAACATTTTTAAGGTAAGAGGGAGCCTGCATACCATAACAGGAAAGAAGAAGAGGGGTGAAATGACACCTACAAGGTCACTTGGGAAATTCCACCCAGTCAGCATTACAACCTCAGTCTTCTGGTTCCTGACTCTCCCTGCATCCTTAGAACCAGCTTCTGAGACCTTCAGCAGGCAGGCCAGGCAGTGCCTACTCAGAGTAGGAATACCTGCTCATTTGTCACTGACTTCCTCCCTCAGTGGTCAGTTCACCCTTTCTTGGTCTTGCTTTTTAACTTCCCTTTGGCCTGTACCTTAGGCCTGCTTCCAAGGATGTGCCTTGAGCACTCACCCATGGATCTAGGCAGGCTTGTGTTTCAGTCTTTGCATGGAAAAGGGATCTGGAGGGACATTGCTCTCCTCTTTTCAAACATCACTAACATTCCAGTTTTTGTCCTTGGTGAAATCCTGAAAATCCTGCGAATGATGTTAATCGAGATCTCCTCTGAAGTGCAATTATTTGTGATCAGCCTTATACCATTTGGGGATGATCTTGGTCTTTGGGGCTCAGAAGATGGTGGATCCTTCTGTTAGGAGATAGGGCACAGGGAAGGGACTGCCCTTTAGGACTCTTGGCACCCCCAAGGCCCTCAAACCCCATCCAATAATCTACCAAGCTCCTTCCTGACAAGGGAAACTGAGTCATCTGGAGGTAAAGGGAGGAAGCTAGAAGACCACAAGGGGAATTTCAGACCATGAAGGAAAAGTCCCCTATCTTGTGCATGTGCATGGTCAGTCCCAAGGGACTGACCTAAGTTAACTTGTAGCTAGTTGACATTTAACTTATCATTAACACTGTGGTTTGCTCCCCCTCTGTGCTTTGGGGGAGGGTTAATCATGTGTAAAGAGAAGAAATTGTGTTAAATTCATCTGTCATTCAATGTGCCAATCAACCCCACATCCACTCAGACGAGAAGGGGGAGTACTAACACAGTCCAATAGTAGTGAGCTGTGCTATGTGGACCTGGCCTTGAGCTACTCTGCAGCTCATCCCACTCTGCTCTGAGTGTTTTCTTTCAAGTTTACTCCATTCTTTGCTTGGGATGCCAAGAACTGCTGAGGGCCATTGCCAAGTAGGAATGACGCATCAAAATTTCCTTGCCAGCGTACCCCATGTTGCTTAGAGGACATTCGATGGGACATTGCATGTATGCTTTAGTAAGGTGACCTTGCTCAAGGACCAGGGCGGATCCGGGTTTAGAGCTGATCAGGTTTGAGGAAGTTTCCCACTCCTTGAGCTTAAGGTGTTCCCAGTTTTAGACAAGTTTAGGGCATTCCCGGTTTAAGACAATATGGGTTTTAGGGAAGTTGGAGGTTGAAGATTATTGCTGCTGGGATTAGGGTGTTCCTGCTGCTTGTTCCCTGTTGAGATTCAAATGGGATTTGGAAATAAGCCTCCTGGAGTAGGTGAATTGTGCGGGCAGATTTGAGAACGTGTGTGGAGGCCGGTGTGAGTTCGGGAATAAAGAATTGCTGTTTGAATCTACAAGGTGTGTGGTGGCTCGTGATCTTGTGCCAAGCCGAGACATTGGCAAAGAACCTGGACAGGGAACTCCCTGAGGAAGCTTGCCCTTGTGCTAGTAACACTTGCTCTATAGTATAGGAATGCATGGTTCTTTTTTCAGTTGAGTGATCTAGGTTTCTGCCCTCTGTTTTCTTCCATTTCCTTCCCACTGACATCAACACTGTCCTAGATCATAAAAATCTCTGAATCAGAAGAGACTTTGGAGTCTGCCATACAGTAATGCATAATTCTCTCTCAGAACATTTCCCAAAAAGTGAATGACCAGCTTCTGCTTGCATACTTGAAGAGATGAGAAATTCACTCTATCAGCAAGTGGCCCACTCCACTGTCAAACAGTGTGGATGGTTGTTAGATAGCTCTTCCTCATACTGAGCCTTATTCTAGGTCCCTGTAACTCCTACCCAT